ATTATTTGGCTTTGATACGCTGAATCATTTTATCATCGTTCTTATTTTTAAAAGAACGGAAATTATTTTCCTTTTCTTTCCTTTCACTTTCTTTTCTTATAATCTCAAATGAGCTCGAGCATTTTGTTTTTGAACAGAGACTGAAAGAAATGTAATTTATTTTTATTTATTTATAATGGTAAAAAAAACAGGATAAATCCCAATTACATTTTTCACCTAAATTTCATTCTTGGAAATGATTAACACTATGACTGTTCTTCATATTTGCAACATATTACTGTTCTTGGGGGACTCCAGGGCCCCATATGTATTTCATATGAAATCTGGACTGTTATAAGAGATAACAAATTAGTGTCTGAAGCAAAGTTGTAATACTCGAGGTTTGCTATAATTTTGTTGCAACAAATATTGCTTATCTCTTATCAGCTCCGCGAAAAACGCGAAAAAACGCGAAAATCGCGAAATTTTCCCACCTCGTTTTAGTGAAGCCGATAAGAAGTAAGAGACTTACCTCTTCGACAGAAATGTAGAGCAGGTCGAGTACTACAACTTTGCCACAGACACCAAGTCGTTATCTCTTATCAGTTTCGCGAAAAATGATTATCAAGAACTCGCGTTTTTCGCGTTTTTTCGCGTAACTGATAAGAGATAACGACTTAATGTCTATGGTGAAGTTGTAGTACTCAAGCTGTTCTACAACTTTGCCGAAGATACCAAGTCGTTATCTTTTATCAGTTTGGCGGAATACGCGAGAAACCACAGAAAACCGCGAAAAAACGCGTTTTTTCCTTATCATTTTTCACGGAGCTGATAAGAGATAACGAGATGGTGTATGAAGCAAAGTTGTAGCTCTGGTCGAGTACTATAATTGTACTACAGAAATGTAGAGCAGGTCGAGTACTACAACTTTGTAACAGACACCAAGTCGTTATCTCGTATCAGTTACGCGAAAAAATGATAAGAAAACATTCGCGTTTTTCACGGTTTTCTGCGGTTTTTCGCATATTCCGCGAAACTGATAAGAGATAACGAGATGGTATCTATACCAAAGTTGTGAAGCAGCTTAAGTACTACAACTTCGCTTCAAGCATCAAGTCGTTATCTCTTATCAGTTACGCGAAAAGCCGCGAAAACCGTGAAAAACGCGAATTTTTTCTTATCATTTTTTCGCGTAACTGATAAAAGATAACGACTTGGTATATGTAGTGAAGTTGTAGTACTCGACTAGAGCTACAACTTTGCCATAGACATCATCTCGTTATCTCTTATCAGTTCCTTGAAAAATGAGAAACTATGAATTCGCGTTTTTCACGTTTTCGCGGCTTTTCGCGTAACTGATAAGAGATAATGACTTGGTGTCTACGGCGAAGTTGTAGTACATAAACCAGTCTACAACACTGCTACAGACACCAAGTCGATATCTCTTATCATAGTCCAGTTATAATATAAAATAGCCATGGGGCCCTGGAGTCCCCCAAGAACAACAGCGTAACATGTTTTGCGGCAGGCTGTATTTTACACATACTCACACATATGTATATGTTTTTTTTCATTCGTGTAGAGAAATGTTCAATCTATACAATGATACATAACTCCGGTTGGTTTATACACTGTTTAGTACTTTGATTCAACTTTAAAGTTCGCTGGGGGCCCTGGGTACCCCAAGAACAATCATAGTGTTAAAATCGACATTCGTTCTAGAACGTGGACTCGGAGTTGTAAACTCAAAGTTATCGATGTTTACTCATTCTAAATGGTGCGTATATTGTGTTTGTAAACAGAGACTATCGGTTTTGAGACGAGACGGTTTGCCGATAAAATGGAATGTGCATGCAAACAACACGTACACGATCTTTCATCACCTGCAAAAACACCACATAAATATATCATTGAAGATAGATGAGTGAGAGCGTCTATCGATAGTAAAGCCATAACAAGGATTAATTTTTGTCTCAAAAATTTACCGATTAATTCCCAATTCCGGATGAGAATTCGCATTTTTTGATCTAAAAATGAAAAAATCAGAATTTTGCTTTATCAAAAATGAGCAAGAAATGACGGATTGCGGTTGTATTTTTAATTTATTGCAATTTTTACCTTCTTATTTCCGGTGAGTGAGTTCCAGTCGAATCATTGAACTAAAACTTGTTTAATAAAACAATAATAACAATGTTTATTTTTGACTCTCATCAGGGAGAGTAAACCGATCGAATTCCGTAGAAATTGTCTGTTCAGAAAATCCACATGCATCGTAACATCAATCAACACTTTATTAATTATCAACATTAGTTACAGAGCTGAGCATCCAAATGCATAGAAGAACGAGAATTTAATGTTATGAAAAAACAAAATAGAAAGCTTTTGTGTATAGATAAATTGAAATATCATGTGAACTGCACACACACACACATAATGAATATTGATTCACCCACCGAACAAACAGCACCAATTCAAGAGATTTTCTCAGAAACAATTAAACAGAAAATTTGGCATCGCCGTCCATGACTCCACGATTTGTATTGAGTGGAACAAAACTGCGTCAAAATTATTTCCAAATATTATCAAGCAATTTCATGAATTCGGTTTTTTTTCAATTCTACACAGTTCACATGTTATTGCTATCGGTTTTCCGGTGAATTGGTATCAATTGGAAACAGAATGTGCATGAGCAACTACAGCCATAATACAATATCACGCACAGTAATCGCTTAAAAGAACACAATCGCCATTTCTAGCTGCCTTTGAGTTTTTTTTAGCCTTGCCATTTATATAGCACACAACAACGGTAAACGAAATCGCCTGCTCATACGCACAAATACAAAGCTGATTACAATGCTCAGGACCAATGGGTGTTACGTACATGTATTGTACGCTTTTCATATGATCGCTGGGGAGGTTTTGTTGTATGATGTTGATTGAAATGCGATTCATATTCGGAGCTCACAGTCGATGTTGATTATACGATGAAGTAGCCCATAATCATAAAATTATAGTCGTATAAATAAACATTTCATAGCCGAACACTTGGACTTAGCCTAAGTTTAGTTTTTTTAAGTTGTCGTTATGTGCACTGTACGAACATCATAAAGTCATAGAATAAAATCAAGTGTTGTACCTTTCATCACATGGATATTTCAATTTGCTAGTTTAAGAATTTTCGAGAACCGATTTAGTGGGGAAGTAAGATTTCGATTTTTGGATGAGAAAAAACTCTAAATGTTTAATTTGGGGGTGAAATTTGTTAAAAAAAAGCAAATGACTGTCGAATGATTCAATATATGATGTTTAATGCGATCCATCAGAACAGAATTTTGATTAATTTATAGAAAGTCTACAAATATTTCGAATTTAAACGATAAATCCATTCAATTTATTGCTGTTCACTGCAAGTGACAACTTTTGTTATCTATCGTCAGCACATTATCAGTATGCGCGAGTTGTTGGACTCTTTCTCTTTTTGTTTACATTCGTATTCGATGTGTTAGGGTAGCATTTTGCGCTGTATTGTCAATCGTTATGTGTTATGTGTATAAAAGCACACATGGAGTAAACGAGTGGAAAAAGGATTGCTTCTAACTAATGAGCACTGTGATATGGAGCTGTTCCATTGGTGCGCGTACATTCTGTGAGACAACAGCGAGAGAAGTGATAGGAATGGGATTCTCGAACATCAATCGAATGTATACAACCAAAGATGAAGCGAGTTAGCAGTGATCTACTATTAGATAAGCGTATATTATCTGAAAAAAGTTCGTATTGCCCACAGCGATTCGCTGTCAACGGTGCATCAATTCGCTGTCAACGGTGTACGAATGTTTACTTATTTTCAAGATACAAAAAACCATAAACAAAAATCGACTACTAACAGCAACTTGTATATACTCACGCAAATACTGAATGTAAAACAAGCTGTTCTAGTCTGACATGTGCTTTTTTGAATGAGGGTACACTCTCTCTTCATTCTTTCGCATGATGCATGAATGGGCAAAAAAAGTGGAGAGAGAGAGAGAGAGAACACGAGAGAATATTGTCTTGAACGGCTAGTCTTTCACGTTCTTTCTCTCTCTTTCTCTCTCCACTGTTTTGCTCATTCATGCATCATGCGAAAATTAAAAGAGAGTGTACCCTCTTTCAAAAGAGACTTGGGTGCCTGCAATCGTAAGAATCGATTGACTATCGTATAGACACTTTGGCTGTGGAAATAACGGTCAGTCGATAGCAAGCACTAACAGATGTTACATTGAAATACAATAGATTCCTCTACTGTGTAGAAAAAAATGTTGAATTTTGTCTTCATTTTTCCGTCAGCCTTTACCCTTTTTTAATTATTTCTGAAAATTTTCTAACAACCTAAAATGAAATTCTCCGAAGACGCGGGGACAGCTCTTGAAAACAAGGCCGTCTGTGCATCTTAACTATATGCAAATATGTTATTTTACGAATTTTCCTTTAAGGTAAACGACTAAAATACCATTTAGATCTTCATAACGAACGGCGCTGTGATGTAGCAAAGATGAAAACGTCCAAACACAACAATTTTGCCACTAGCCTTTCAATCGATTGTTCGAAATGATTACAAAACGAATTTTGTTCCGAATGATGTCTTCGAATTTCGGCACTTGTAAAATTCCTGAGAAAAATAAATGAATTTCTAGATAATTGTCCTATATCTTCTGTCCGCTTCTGTCAATTTCGAAAAATCTTTTCCAATTTAAGCTTTTTCGTACAAAAAATTTGTTCGATTTTTATCACTTAAAAAATTGAATTGATTTGTAACTTACGAACAGTTCTTATTGGTGTTGACAATCGTGCTCGTATTTCAACTACAAGGGATATTTTTCCTAATAAAACGTAACACAGGTTGCCTCATCACAAAAAGTCGAAATATGATAATGCCTCGAGCACAGATACAAATGTCTTTTTCCACGGAAGCAACGCCATCAGAAAAGATGAAAGCGATGATGTCTATGATCCAGGTTACACCCATTAAAATGAATAATCGCAAATAAAGCATGTAACTTTGGGAACAAAAGAAGTTTTTCATGAATTTATGAATCGGAAGTAAACACAATCATGCGAATAGCATGCGAATGAACTTTGACCGAGCTATTTACCTGTTTTTCATTTTGATCAACTGGTTTTGTCGTTGACTAGATCCTTTTGCCGATTTTCGCCGTTCATCGTGTTGTATTTTGTGAATTCGTCGTGCAGCCAAAATGAAAAATACCACATTTACCGCCAGAATAATGCTAAGTGGGATGTAGTAGAACGTAATTTTTTTGCTTGAATTTTCTGTAATGACATCAAACGTTGCACTTTATTCTCATTTTAATTCTTCTTTGCACTTAAGTCTAAAATTGTGAGCTCCGAATGAAGCCAAATTGAGTGAAATTGACTAACAATTTCCTTTGACTAACCTTTAAGAAAGAGCGTGTCGACTCCAGTGCCCGGGCGTAGATAATCAGGAAGTGATTCAATTGAGTCCAATACATTGGCCATAATGGTTATTAGCAACGACAATGTCCAGGCATAAACATTGTACAAAATGGATTGTTTTCGCTCCGAAAAAGCTCGAAAATTCTTGATGGATCTAAATATTCGGCAGTTGAGAATTGACATTGGATTAAAAACAGGAATAGTAACAACCAAATGGGAGAAAAACAAAATTTTAACGGAAGTATAAAGAATAAAGGTGTGAAAATATCGCTCAAAAACTTACCGAAAACTCGACCAGAGATCAAAACTGATCACATTCAACCACAAAAAGGATGAGAAGAAAGCAAAATAGGTGAGGATACCATATGCCTTTCGGATGGGCCATTCCATTTGCTGTGGATCAACGAGCTCGGCCAAGGAGAGTGAAGTATCGACCATTATCAGGCATAGCAAGTAGCTGAGAAAGCATTTGCCGTGCAAATTTCGTAGCTCCGGTATGAAAATGTAAATCAAAAATGTAGCAATCAAGAATGGTATCGACGTTAACAGCGCTAAAAACGATAAATTATGGTATTTTCAGATTATTTCGTATCTTTGTCATATTATCATTACCCAATATTTGTATCAACTATGAGCTTTTTATGAAAGTTTGATGATCTTCTTACCGTAGGGCAAAATGGAATGTCTCGTACTTGGCACATCTGGACCTCCTTTCATACAAAGCATCACCTGTATATTTACGGCTTTCGTTCGACCGGGCGTGACTCTAATGCAATATTCACGATGATTGAATAATTCATTGTCAACCAAAACATGCCCTGTCTGGATTGAAATTTTTTTCATCATTTTCAAATGAGATTTGAGTTAATTTGATGCTCTATTGTTTTCATTTCTTTTTCTTTGCATTTTTTGAGAAAAATTTGTTTTTTTTGCATTTTTTAGACGTTTTTCAATCGATACTATTAAAATGTCAATCAAAGCTATTCTTCCATCAAGAATACAAGGAATTCCTTACATGTGTAATGACAAAGTTTTTTGCATAGTAGTGAAAGTCGCAGATTCGATTAACGTAGCCAAAATGTTGATCTAGATTTGTGATATTGGTGCGTCCATTTTCATCCAGCACTTCGGTGAGAAGATTCTTTGCTGTTTCGTCTTCACGGCATTCCACTTCTTGGCCGAATTCCATACTTTCAACGAATGATCCATGTGGACAACAAAGTCGAACACAAGGCCTTATATTACAAGTACATCCACGAACACTAATGCGATTGAAACCATCTTCCGAAATATAATCGATCGCTGCATATTGATCTTCCGAATATTCGATGCCATCGAATATAATCTTGCCATTTTGATGTTCAATACCACCGGTTATGTTGACTGAATCAACGAAATCACAACGTAGTTCACGATTGATTAAATCTTCACCACTCTTATTTGAAGACGTTAAACTAATGGCTAGACTTAATAAACACACACTGAACCAATTCATGATCTAAATAATTTCTTCTTCTTTATTTATTTTCGAAGTTATTCTTCGTCGAAATTCGATTAAAACGTAGTAGGACTGAACCGAAATTTGTTTTCTTTTCCCATACTTCAAAAAACCGAAAAAAATATTCAGTGTGCTCATGGTTTGATGAGCCGATACAGTTTTGACAATGATTCCATTGCGACTAATCAATACGTCGGTTGACATATTAGTTTGATTCAGACTGAATTTCAAACTCAAACTGTCCATGAATCAATACCAACGAAATTATATGTCACACTCATTGTTGATCGGTTACTATGTTCAAAAGGTCAGGAAAGTTAATTCATAATTGGAATGTGAAATTGATATGATTTTGACTCCAGCAGAGTTCAAACGATGGATTACGCAAAATAAATAACTGCGTTTTAAGTGGAACTCTTTGAATTGGGCAGACAGTCATATGGTCACAAGTTGGACTTCATACAGATATGAATGCGTGAGCACAAAAGAGCAACTTTGATTTGGAATATTTTGAAGCGTGAAATGTGAAGCGAAAACACGTATACTTTTGCATGGAGATGTTTTTATTGCTGATATTTTTGCTCTTGTCAGAAAAAAGAAATTTCTTTGTGTCCAAAGCAAAGCATATTAAATTATCAAAAATTATGCATGGCAGTCTGCATACAAAAATGATCATTCATCAAACATTCTTAACAATTATGGAGAGGAAGACATACAATGAAAATGCGATTTTTGTTCTGATGTCAAATGATAATTTTTATAACAGTGAAACGCATCCGTTTTGAGTAGATATTTACCTTAAATGAAATTATGAAGACAATACACAATGGGATGATCAGTTTATTTGAACCAGAAATTTATCTCATTGCATACTCATCTATCCCAATTTTGATTCGTTTGCTAGCTTATCCGTTGTCAATGACTCAATGAATATCAATTTTTTTTTGTTCAATTCTTTTCGTATGTCCATTTCAATGTCTGTTGCTCTTAAAAACATCTTTTTCTTATTAATCTTCATTTTTCTCTACTTCAGTATGTATCTATTGCTGCATTGTGTATAACTTTGAGTTAATGATCTAATTCTGAAGGATTTTCGTTCATTTTCGTTTTTGTATTTTTACTTGGTTTTTGTATAGGTGAAATTATTAATTTGCAAAATCAAAATTTCATATCATTTTAACGGACGGGTTTGAAATAAACTCAACGAATTTGCTCAAAAGAGAGCAACTAATCGACATACACTAGTGTATACATTCGGTGACGTTGTCAACTTAACGATATGTCATACACACAGGAAGCGTTTGCATCGCAGTATCAATGCGGTAGGATATACTGAGCTTGCCATTGCTCAATGAGTCACAGAGTGAGGCAGACATTTTGAAAGAAGAGACGCAGAAAAAAAATTAATCATATTTTCAGCAGCAATAACACATCGACAGATCATTTTACGACGTAAATATGAATTTTTTTTTATTGATTTCGATGATTTTGTTGTAAAAGTGACAAATTGATTTGATATTCATGAAAATTGTCAGAAAATAGCGTAAAACAAAAGTGCACATTTGGTGTGTAGTTTTTAAAACACGTGTTTTGCATGGAGCTGATTCATTTGTTAAAGTTTGATTTTTTATGTTTCTCACGAATCCAATAGAAAATGAAGCCATTCAAAGGTGTTTGTGGCAAACAATGCAAGCGCAAGTCAAGGTTGGCAACGATTGAAGTTAAGCAAGAGCCGGTGATTAAAGAAGAGAACATCAACGGCGGTGACGATGTCATGAACATATCACGGCCTCGAGTTGAGGGAGGATATCGTGCGAATTACCAAGGACCAGTCGACTTTGAATGTGATTTTGATGGGATCAAAGTTGAGGTCAAGTGCGAAAAAGAAGATACGGGCAAGGAAAAGGACATGGCACCTTGTGGACGATCGAATGAAAGCGCCGCCAATGATGTTGGAAACGAAGAGCCTATGAGTAATGCAATCGATGGTCAACCACCGCAACCAGTTGACAATGGGAAGAAACGGAATGGAAGCTCCAAACGACGAAACAAACGAACGATTCCCAGGAATCAAGCGGCCAAAAAGCAAAAGAAACACAAATGCCATGTGTGCAATTATTTGGCAGGTTACAAGTCTGAACTCATAAGACACTTGCGAATTCACACTGGAGAAAAGCCGTTTCAGTGTGATGTTTGTTCGAAGTCCTTTGCACAAAAAATTCATTTGAACCGTCACAAGAAAACACATGGTCCGAAGCTTCAGTTTCGTTGTTCAAAATGTAATGGTGGATTTAGGCAAGAATCAGACAAGACCGATCATGAAAGACTATGCGATCCCCATCAATTTCAATGCGATATTTGCGGATATCACACCGTGATGAAATCCATTTTGACAGTTCATATGCGGATTCACAGCGGAGACAAGCCGTTCGAGTGCTCAATTTGTTTCAAGTCATTTAAAACCAAGTCTGCTCTCCTAAGGCATTCAATGGTCCACAAAGATGTATTGCCGAATGCTTGTTCCAAATGTGGCCGACGATTCGCCACACCAGACTATAAGGAAACACACGAAACACGCTGCCGAAGAAGTCTATTTGCATGTAATCAGTGTCGTTACATTACTGTTTACAAGCAATCATTGATGAGGCACATGCAATCAAAACACGGAGCCAAAAGATCGATCGAATGTGAAATTTGCAACAAACAATTCGTCCACCAATTAAAATTGAACCAACATTTGTTATCAACACACAGCGATCAATTCCCATTCCAATGCTCCAAATGTTTTGGAGGATACGCAACTGAAGATGCGAAAAAGGTTCATGAAAATCGCTGTGGCCACCGTCAGTATCAATGCCATTTGTGCAAAGAGTTTCGTCGAGGCAAAGATGTTTTGAAGATTCACATGCGAAAAGATCACACCGGAGAGCGGATTCAATGCAAAGTGTGTGCAGCAAGCTTTGCCAGTAAAGGTGATGCCAATCTCCACATGAAAGCAGTTCACCGTTTGAAGAAGAAATAAGTCACACATTCAAGGTTTATTAGAAAGTACTTAGTACTAATTTCAAAGTAGTAACAATAGTACCTATACTTTTTCTGAATAGTAGACACATTAACTTTTATTTCATGTACTTGAAAAACCTTTGTTTCAGTCATTTGAACTTGATATTTTGCATCCTTAACTGACATTAATTGATGAATAAAACTGAAATAAATTGGAACAAAGAGAGAAGAGTGTTTTGTGTTTATTTTTATTTTGAAAATTATTTTTGCAGAAAATTCCTTTTAGCTAACGAAAGAAACAAAAGCTTTGTTGGCAAAGGTGTTTTATCAACAAAATCCACTACGTTGCGTTCTAATCGAGTTTGTATATTTTTCTGATGATTTTACAATTTCAAAGTGTGATATTGTTCGTAATACCTAATATTGGAATATTCGCTTTAAATTGATTTCCAAACAAAATTTTTGCATCATTTCAATTGGCTTACTTTTTCAGTACAAACGCATGATACATTCAATCTCAGTAGCCTCGATGCAATTTCCTTCTGCTGAACTGTAGCATTTCTCAGGATTGTCAACGAAGAAGTTAGTCGCTACTCAGCAAATAATTTCGAACCACATTTGATTGCATAATTCGAATACATGCACATCACCCTCACATTCGATGTTCAGCTCAAACAAATGTGCCCAATAATGCAGTACTTTCAGCGCAATGTGAGAAATATAAGAAAACCCAATACAATTCCAATTAGATTTTTATAACATTAAAATGAATTTATCACATTCGCGATCGCCAGACATGAACAATAGATGATCTTAGATACGAATTTGTTCAAATGTAAATAAACTAACGAATGAAATTGTTGCTATCTCACAACTATGTGTTTTTGTTAGATAGAAATCTCCCGATCAGAGACATGGAAGTCGTGTCGATTTGGTAAAATATCATCAGTAACGCATGAATTTAACCGACATTTTTGAATTGAGCTCAACGAATTTGCTCAAAAGAGAGCTACTAGTTGACATTTGGCGATACTGTCAACTTAACCAAATGTCATAAGCACATATAGCAAACATTTGCATCGCAGTACCAATGCTGTAGGACATGCTGAGATTGCCATTTTTCAATGAGTCACAGAGTGGGGCAAACATATTGAAAAACGATACGCAGGAAAAAAATCAATTCCACGTTGAGCGAGAAAGAAGGCAACGGCAGAAAATTTCACGACGTAAGTGTTGCGCATTTTTTCTTATTTATTTCGATGTTAGGATTGGAGTTTTCCATTCTGTTTTTGAAACCGTGGCATATGAATTTGGTTTTCCAGGAAAATCGCGAAAAAATAGCATAAACCAGAAGTGTGCATTTGGTGTGTAGATGTTCTATCACACACGCGTGGCAAACACGTGTTTTGTAAGAAGTCGATTAATTTATTCATGTTTGATTTTTTTTTGTTCTACCAAACAGACAATGAACCCATTTAGTACTATTTCTGGTGGACGCCGTAAACGCAAGTCAAAGTGTGCAAAGGCTGAAGTCAAGCAAGAGCCTGGTATGAAGAAAGAGGCCACCAACGACGGCGATTATGTCATTGATGTACCAAGGCCACGAGTTGAAGGAAGATATCGTGCGAATTACGAAGGACCGTTCGACTTTGACTATGACTTCGATGACATCAAAGATGAAATCAAAGATGAAATCGAATGTGAAGAAGAAGAGACGGGCAAAAACAAAGACTCGGTACCATGTGAACGATCGGATGACAGTGTCGTTGCCAATGATAATGGTGATAACGAAGAGCTAATGGGTGATGCAATCGATGGTCAACCACCACAACCAGTTGGAAGTGGAGAGAAATACAATGGAAGCACCAAACGACGAAACAAACGAACGATTCCCCGGAATCAAGCGACCAAGAAGCAAAAGCAAAAGCAAAAGAAGAACAAATGCCATGTGTGCAATCATTTGGCACGTGACAAATCTAACCTCAAAGTACACTTGCGAACTCACACTGGAGAGAAGCCATTTCAGTGTGATGTTTGTTCGAAGTCCTTTGCACAAAAAATTAATTTGAACCGTCACAAGAAAACACATGGTCCGAAGCTTCAGTTTCGTTGTTCAAAATGTAATGGTGGATTTAGGCAAGAATCAGACAAGATCAATCATGAAAGGCTATGTAGTTCCCAGCAATTCGAATGCGATATTTGCGGAGTAAAACATAAACCACACTTGACAGTTCATATGCGGATTCACAGCGGGGAAAAGCCGTTCGAGTGCCAAGTTTGTTCCAAATCTTTTGTGAACAGCTCTCATCTTCAAAGGCATTCGATGACTCATAAAGATGAACTGCCTGATGCTTGTTCGAAATGTGGCCGACGATTTGCCACTCCAGAAGATAAGCAAAAACACGAAACGCGCTGCCAACGAAGTCTTCCCGCATGCAATCAATGTCATTACAAAACTGTCCACAAGAATGCATTGAAGCGGCATATGCAATCACAACACGGAGCAAAACGATCGATCGAATGTGAAATTTGCGGCAAAAAATTCGTTCAACAGATTTATTCAAATCAACATTTGTCATCAACACACAGCGACCGGTTCCCATTCCAATGCTCCAAGTGCTTCGGAGGATACACCACCGAAGATGCAAAAGACGTTCATGGAGATAGATGTGGCTACCGTCAGTTTCAATGCCATTTGTGCAAAGAGCACCGTCGAGACAAACACAAATTGAAGATTCACATGCGAAAAGATCACACCGGAGATAGGATTCAATGCAAGGTTTGTGCAGCTAGCTTTATCCAGAAAGGTAATGCCGATCGACACATGAAAGCAGTTCATCGTTTGAAGCAGAAATAAATCATGCATTCCATAGATTTTCTAAGTCGCAGTCAAGCCAAAAACCAATATTTTATAATTCCTACAAATGAACAGCTTAAATACAAATAAAAAACTTGCACGCCAAGAACTTGAATTGTAATAATAGGCATGCATCCAAATTTCAAATAACAATTAAAATTTGCCAAAATAAAAATTCATAACTATTGCTTCAGATTTAAACTCCCATTTTGAATGAATCAGAACAGAAATTTATGTATTGAAACCGGAATAAAAAGAAAAAGGGAAGAAGAATGTTGCTTTTTATTGCTGAGTTTATTTTCGCAGCGATTTTCTTGACCAACGAAAGAAACGAATGCTTTTTGGAAACTGTGTTACCTTGATGAAAACAACTCCGTAAAAAAACTATGATCAAGTGTGTAAGTGTTAATTACAAAAATCCAGCTTCAAAGTATGTCGTTCATTACTCGCATGATTCGAATATTTGACTTGAGTTGTTCTCCAATTACTTGTCCGTTTGCAAAATTCTTCGCCGACTCTTCATAAAATATCACAATTCAGACACCAGATATTTTCGATTCCAAATAAAAACTTGGTCTTCTAACCCGACTCTTTTTCAATCCATCGATTGGACAATAACAATAGATAGATGAATGACTTGAAGCGGTTCAATGCTTTGTAGTCCAGTAGCCGAATGTGATTTATATTTCCATGTACAACCATGCATTTTCTTATCATTTAAATACCATGCGTTTATTGAGCCAGAATTCAAAATTGCATTTGTTCCGTTCGCCAGAGATGCACAATTCTTTGTCATAAATATGTTTGCATACCAACACCAACACAACGAAAGAGTTTGTTTTTGTTTGACAACTCTAAATGTTTCTACCATGCGGAATTCCGCATTAATGCAGGCACCGAAATGTTCGTCTTTTCCATTGATATTTATTTCGGACAAATGTCTAATGACGTTAGCGGTAGAATTTCAAATTTAAACATTTCAATATCATTTAATCAATTTTCACAGATTTTAATTCGAATAGCCGGATAATCATTATTTTAATAGAGCAAAATCTTTAGTTTCGGAATATTTATTCCAACAAATTAGACTTTGAGAAAGAAAAATTCCACATCAGTTTAACCGATATTTTTGAATTGAGCTCTGAATTCGCTTAATTGACAGCTACCAATGGAGATGAAGTGTGTGTACTTGGCGTCGTTGAGAAATGAGAACTTAACGAAAGGCACCAATACAAATAGCACGCTTGCAAGTATATGAGCCGTAGGCATCGATGCTGTAGCTTACAGACTGTGTGTTGTTCCGATTTTGCCATTGTTCAGATAACCACTGAGTTGGGCAGACATATTAAAAGATACACGGAAAAAACAATTCAGTAGAAAAAAGGCGACGACAAACGTAAGACTTAAACATTTTTCATTTATTCGAATATAATTTTTTGAGTGTACAATTTTATGATTCGGTCGTAAAAATGAAAAATCATGAAAAGCAATAGACACGCATGAAATTTGGTAACACATAACCTAACTTTCAAGTGCACATTTCATGCGCACATTTTCTTTGAATAGACGCATCAAGCACGTGGTTTGCATTTAATTGAATCACTTTTCATTATTTTTAGGTAATTGATACTTGATTTTAAAATTTGACTATTGATTTTTGACATTGTTTTTCTGAATCAATCAGGAAATGAAGCCATTCAAAGGTGTTTCTGGTAGACGCTGCAAGCGCAAGTCAAAGCCAGCAATGGTTGAAGTCAAGCAAGAGTTGGTGATTAAAGAAGAACCAAACGGCGGTGACAATGTCATGAACATACCACGGCCGAGCGTTGATGGAAGATATCGTGCGAATTACGAGAGGCCGTTCGATTTTGACTATGACTTCGATGTGTTAAAGGATGAAATCAAAGAAGAAGAAGAAAAGACGGTCGTGGAAAAGAACGAGAGGGCACATCGTAAACAATCGAATGAGAACGATGCTGTCAATAATGATGACAACGAAGAGCCCATGGGTAACGCAATCGATGACCAACCACCGAAACCAGTCGACAGCGAGAGGAAACGGAGTGGAAGCTCCAGAAGGCAAAACAAACGAACGGTTCCCAGGAATCAAGCGACCAAAAAGCAAAAGCAAAAGAAGAACAAATGCCATGTGTGCAATCATTTGGCACGTGACAAATCTAACCTCAAAGTACACTTGCGAATTCACACTGGAGAAAAGCCGTTTCAGTGTGATGTTTGTTCGAAGTTCTTTGCACAAAAAATTCATTTGAACCGTCACAAGAAAACGCATGGTCCGAAGCTTCAGTTTCGTTGTTCAAAATGTTATGAAAGATTTGAACGCGAATCAGACAAGATCGATCATGAA